GTACACAGTTCCAGCAGCGATTGCCTTTCTCGGTCTTAGTGAAAGTACGACAACCGGTGATGTTGCTGCCAATATGGCACAGTCCCTAGGTAATCTAGCGGAGCTACAGCCTTCAAAAGATTCTGAACCAGCAATACAACCGGAAAGCCCTAAAGCTCCTGTACGACCCACTAGATTGGCATTAGCCCTGCGAGACTGCGTCATTGGTCTCAACCCTCGTGGCTCAGAAGCAAAAGGCCTTGTTGTGCTCACAAACGCGAATTTCTCGGGTGCCGTAGGCGATGAAGCGTCCTCTGCGGCCACGCTAGATCTCCGCAAAGCATCAATCATGATTATTGACGATGCTCGGAATATGGGGAACACAGACGATCCGCATCGAAGAAACTCAACTTCCCCACCGAGTAGCCAGGTCCAATCATTCATTGACATGGGCTTTGTCACCGTTTCATCAATATCATCAGCAACGGCTAGCGTGAAACTACTACGCTCGAGCGAAGACGGGACACAGTCGTTAGATGTGGAACTCAGGGATGACTTGCTGATTCTTGAAACATGTGCCGATTCAACACAAACTCTCATCAGCATAGTGAATGGACTTCAGCCTCCTACTCCTCCAAGCGTGACCAAGAAGTATCGGACTGAGGTTCTTCCACTTCAAGACATGCTAGCATCGTTTTCCGGTGATGCCTTTGCTCTTGATTCAATGTCGGGCCCTGAAGGTTCCTCTGAGACAACCGGCGATTCCGCCGAGAACTTCCAGGATAAGCAGGGCCATATTGAGGATGAAGTCGAGTACGTAAGTGACTTTTATCCAGCGAAGCCAACATCTGGAGCAGGATCTCTGCACGATGCTATGACGGCCTCAGGGTCAAACGAGCTTCTAGATAGTTTTCACTCTCAGTACTATGTATCGTCTAGTGTTTCCGACCTTGAATTCCGGGATGACCACTTTGCTACACAGTCAGCTGTTGGAGGTACGGCGCACAGATGGGATTCTACCGAAAACACCTATGGCCTTTCGGACGACACGAAGCTTCAGAAGAGCCCTTTGCGAATCAGGGTCCGTGATGCCCATGTCATCTGGAACCTATTCGATGGCTATGACTGGCAGCGGACAAGAGATACTATATCAAAGGCGGTCAAAGATGTGGAGAGAAAGGCTACAGACCGGCGAGCAAGGGCGAATCGAGCCTCCCCAAGCTTCGACGAGGACGAGGAGTCAGTCATCGGCGACTGTCTGTTTAACTCAATATATATAGGTATTCCTGCCAACAAGGATCCGCGAGAGCTTCGCAGCGATATCAACCGCAACATTGATGATCTTGTCAGTGAGACTGGCAGCTATGCAACCACAACTACAGTCACGGGAGCTACGGTACGACAAAGCCAATCGCCTTCCTTCAGAAAGAAGCTGCGGCTGTCCAGAAGCAAGTATCATAAAATGACCTTTGAGCTCAAAGGTATATGCGCAGATCTTGTCGTCTTCCCGCCGGACTCCGGCGAGACGCAAAGCTCCTTGGATGTTCGAGTCAATGACTTGGAGATATTCGATCATGTGCCTACATCGACCTGGAAGAAATTTGCGACCTACATGCATGAAGTGGGTGAGAAAGAAAGTGGAACCAGTATGGTGCACTTGGAGATCTTGACCGTCAGGCCTGTGCCTGAGCTCGCTGCGTCCGAGATTGTCTTAAAGGTATGTAAAATAGAAAACCCTTCCAGCCGTCTCTCTAAAATTTTCTAACAATGCTATAGGCCACTCTTCTGCCCCTAAGGCTTCATGTTGATCAAGACGCTCTCGACTTTCTGTGCCGTTTCTTCGAATTTCGAGATGACTCTGCGCCTACCCCTAGCGCCCCGCAAGACATACCATTTTTACAGAGAGTTGAGATTAACGCCGTTCCTGTCAGACTCGACTTCAAGCCCAAGCGAGTCGATTATAACGGGCTTCGATCCGGACGCACGACTGAGTTTATGAACTTCTTCGTTCTTGACGGGGCAGATATGGTCATGCGTCATGTCATCATCTATGGAGTATCTGGGTTTGACAAGCTTGGCCAGACCTTGAATGATATATGGATGCCAGATATAAAAAGAAATCAACTACCGGGGGTCCTCGCTGGTCTTGCGCCCATTAGGTCCCTGGTCAACGTGGGAGGAGGAGTGAAGGATCTCGTAGTCGTTCCCATGCGCGAGTATCGCAAGGATGGTCGCATTGTACGGAGCATACAGAAGGGGGCACTCGCCTTTGCCAAGACTACATCCAACGAGCTCGTCAAGCTTGGTGCCAAACTCGCCATTGGTACCCAAACCGTCCTGCAAGGCGCAGAGGATCTGTTGACATCCTCCAATGCGCCATTGGCTAGCGCGGAGGAAGATGCAGCTGATGAGGAGGAGGCGAAAAAGATCTCCCTCTATGCGGACCAGCCCGTTGGTGTCGTTCAAGGCCTTCGGGGAGCATTTAGGGGATTAGAACGCGATTTGCTCCTGACCCGAGATGCCATCGTTGCTGTCCCTGGAGAAGTCGTTGAGAGCGGAAGCGCCAAAGCAGCTGCAAAGGCTGTGTGGAAGCGGGCGCCGACGGTTATTCTCCGTCCTGCGATCGGGGTATCCAAGGCCGTGGGACAGACGCTTCTGGGGGCTGGAAACACTTTGGATCCCAGCAACAGGCGGAAGATGGAAGATGTAAGTTTATCTGCACCCCAATCCCCCAATTCTTTTAACATGGATTGACGTTCTCTCTCCAGAAATATAAACGTCATTAGAGAATTGTTTTCCTTTCGATTCCGATATTGTGGCTCACGACTGATCCCTGGTGGGTTAAATTCCCGGTTGCTGATACAGAGGGTTGTTTTCTTTGCTGCATTGTTTACATGGGAAGGGTTGCTCACCGTAACCGTACATAACTGGGGTTATACACAGGCAGGTACCTGAGATCGAGTTTAGCTGGCCGGCCATTGCGTATTGGCTCATGATGATGATATGACGATGCTATCTTGATTTCCATTGTTACCGCTGATATACGTTGTTCTTAAGATGATGATTGTTTTGGTTTAATTCCTCGCCCATTGAAATTGAGCATGGCTGGTGTTTTGGTTTGGAGTCTTTCTTCTAGGGCTTCCCTGTTTTGGCCGAACCCCCAGCGAATAGTTTTGGCATCTTACGGTTCTTGTGCTTATGGTTGTTTCACGGGCGTCAGCATAGGAAGATTGGTAACAATGAGCATGACTGGGATGTTAAGATGTCCATGATAGACTTTGCCAACTCCAAGATGTTCTCCTTCCCCGTCTCTGGGTGTATGTACAAATTATGGATGTGTTACCGCCTCGCCAGCCGATGGTCGCATGACAGCATCGGGGACACAACTGCAATGCTGATCAGGGCGGACAGGAATGTAGGACTACATGTGCAGGCCGGGGTCGCTGCAAGGTGGACACGGCTACATCATGCCATATTTCCTTTTTTCTCTTTCTTTTTCTGTGACCTTTTCGTTTCCTCTTGGTGTGACTCCCCGGTGGTACGAAGGGGAGGCCATGCAACAAGGCTGAGTGGGGGAGAATGGTCATTATTCAAATATGGAAGAAAAAGAAAGGGACCGAGTCGGGTGGGCATAATCCGAAAGAAACGAAAGAAAATGGCAAAGACAAAAAGAAGCAAAAGGGAAAGCGAAGAAAGAAGGGGACCAGTGAAGGGAGGCAGATGACGGTTGCCACTCAGTATAAGCCAGGATAAGAATAGTTCCAGGCCTCCTGCGAACGAATGGGAGTGGTTCCTAAGGAACAAGGCTGGCAGGAGGTCGTAAAGTGAAACGGAGATCTTCACGTCTTGAACCAGTGAGTGCGAGAAGCAGAGTGATCCGGCTGCGGCTGTACGGTGAGATTGGACCACGTTAGCGGGTGCCCAACCAGAGCGCTGGACTGGTCATCGCCAGTTCCTCTCATACTTGTTGCTTGCGACTAACTACGACTGGGTGGGTCTACGACTACTGCTTGCATGTTGGCAATGTGACGACGCAACTTACTTTTTTTTTTTTGCTTTCGCTTCTTCTTTTTCACTCTCGTCTCGCTGTTTTTTTGTCATTCTGTAGTTCTGTTGCAAATTTCTTACTTTTTTTATTTTTTCTTCATTCAGCTCAGTTGCTCAATATCAAATTGTCCTGTCGCAGTACCTGGGTGGATATCCCCGAACTCCTCCAGCGATTCAATCAAATAAATAGACTTCCCCGAACATTGGTTTCCTTGGGTCCCGATCCAGGCCTCCCAAGCCATGCTGATATCATCATTGTCCATTTCCAACTGAGCTCTCGGGACTGAGGGCTATGCCACAGACACTCGCCCAATGCATCAGGATACAGACGGAACATACCGCCTGTTCCTTTCTCTCCTTTGATACAGGTCAACAAAGACGATCGACTATTGATTTCAGACTATGGATCTGAGAAGCTGCAGTGTGAGAGATCCAAACGGTAGTCCTAGCTCTATCCATCTTCACCGCATGGACGCTACGGCCCCAACACCAGCACCGCTATCCTCATCACCTCCATCATCTCGAATGGATTGCTCTTCCCAGTCAACATCCTTGAACGCCATGTGTATGTCAGGGAATCGCTCTCTGCATGAATGCCGCCAGTATCTGTCAAGTTACGACTCGGCTACCAGCGAGAGTCCCGACATCAAAAAGTTACGGCGAAAGAACGCCGCATTGAACTTGAACCAGTCCCAGATGTCCCTGGACCACCACTACGAGTACCCATTCTCGGTCTCGTCGGTAGCGTCAAGTCCTCCGCCATTATCCCCGTCGCATTCACCCAGCGCTCTAAGCGAGCAGCCTGAGAGCCTGGATGGCTTCCTCCGTATGGGATATTACCGCCATGTATCTCCAGTAGACCCGTGCTTACTTGCGAATATAGCCCCGGGGACCCCCAGCTCCGTAGACGACCATATATACCTCAATCAGAACCCCCACAAGATCCTGGTAAGCCGCCCTGTCACTCGGGCCCTATGTGTACGATGCTTTTGCAGCTAATCTGACAAACATACGCACATGCAGGACTCGTTCCGGGATCGACTCGAGAGATACCCCGACTCAGATCCCAAACCAGTCCCACGCAATCCCCCCGCCTCTGTCCACAGACACACAAAGCGATACTCAGACTCGATGCTCCTCAATGTAACCAAGCCCACCGCCACCATCATCCATCAAGGTACCTCGTTCGAGATTCTCAACCCCCATGAATCACTCCACTTCGCTCGCATCGTCTCGTACATCGAAGACGTCGACAGCTTCTCCACAGGCCACAACAGAGACTCCTACATCTCATTCACCGAAGACACCGTGATCATCGAATCGGACCCATGGTCCTACGACCCCCCGCCGCAAGCCCGCGTCCAAACCAACACGGAAGAAGCCCTCGAAGAAGAGAACCGAAAGTCCCAACTAGATATCGGCGACACCCAAGGCCTCCACCACCACCTCATGCCCTCCATCAACGAGCTCCTCGAAGAAACAGCCCTCAACAACATGACCCGCCACCTCCCCAGACCATGCACCAGCCCAACCAACGAAAGCGATCTCGGCGAGCCCGGAGACCCCATCTACGACGACAACAACAACAACCACCCCATGATGGCCCAGGACGCCCTCTGGCAATTCGACATCGGCATCGACCCAGCCACCAAGCCCCCCTCCAACGAACAGACCATGACTCCACGAACCGAGATCAAACTCCACCGTCGTCCCACCCGGCGGTCCACCGCCAGTCGCAAGCGCAGGGGTCCCTTGCGGAGACTCTACGGGTTGTTTCGCAGGAAGGCCGCGAAGTAGGTTTTGTTGTTTTGTTCTTGCTGTCCGTGCGGTTATGACTCCGTTGATGATGATGTTATAAAGCGTTTGCTGTGAGCGGTCTTTTAACCTTGCGCTTTTTCGTGCTTCTGGAAAGCACGGCTTTTGTTCGCTTTTGCTCTCTGACGATCGTTTGTTTCTTTCTTGCTGTTTGTTTTTTTTTTTTTCTCTTCCTGTACTTCGATACCATTTATCTCCTAGTGGTGGTATATGTCTTGTAATCATGGGATAGAATGTGGAAGACCGGAATAAGCCTGATATTCAGATTTGTCTATACCTGTAAAACCGAATCAATTGTGCTGTGGACCGTTTCACCAGAACCTTTACCTCCGTACCGCCGATATGAACCAAACCGAAAATCACACAATCAGGGTATCTACCTTAATATGTACAAGTAACGACATTGACAAGAAGTGAAGAAAGAGAGATAATAAGTTGAAGAAAGTTTAAATATATCCATCGGAAAGAAAGAAAGAGAAAGAGAAACCCAAAACAAGAACAGATTTAACATTCCTTCTCCACCATCGACGCCAAAGCAGCACTGACAAGACTCTTCCGTCGCAGTCCCTGCTCGCTCTTCTTCCGCAGATCCCGGGAAGATGAATGGTAGCTCTTCTCGATGCGAGACGCCTGCACGGGGATGGAGCTGCTCATTCGCCGTCCCTTGGAGTCGGACGAGGGCGGGTCCAATAGGCTAGGGCCTAATTGGGGGCGGAACCGGCTCCGTTGGAGAGTGGCCGCTCTCCGGCGCGGGGACTTTTGCGGGGGGATGGAGCTGGGGTGGCAGGCGTCTGGGTCGAAGGTGGTGGTCAGCTTCTCGTCATCGGAGACGAGGGCCCGGCGAATGGCTTCTAACTCTGAGTGGTTGCATTGGAGACGGGAGATGTTCTGGCGCTGGGCGCGGACGTTCCAGCTATCCTGAGTGTGGGATAGAGGGTCCATGTCCGCGGTTTGCGGGAAGAGATCACACGGGACGGATGTGGGACTCAGAAAAGGGGATTGAGGCTGGGGCGAGAGAGAACCAGAGGTGAGCGACGGAGAGTCCAGGGAACCCTCATCATCGTGGTCTGTGTCTGGAGGGGTCAGAAAATATCCCGGGAATCGGGTGGCCATGTCGAGGGACTGGGGCGACGTCGGCGTGGCGGGTCTCCCGATCTGCGTCTCATTGTTTGAGGTTTTGATGGTGTGTTCATGCAGTTTTCTTGTCAAGATACTGATCGAGAGACGCTTCTGGTGGTCGTCATACGCAGACAAGGGAACGGAGGTGGGGGGTTGAGCGGAACGGAAGTAGGAGGACCGCGAGCGAGGTAACGCTCTCGGAATCCGGTGTGTCGCGGTAGACCGAGGCGAAGGACACCGTGAGGATAGAGGAGAGATCAGGCTGCTGTCGCAGTCGACCATGAGATTGTCGTCGCCATCAAAGGCCAGGCGGGGCGGCTTGGTGGACGAGGGGGATGAGAAAGAGAAGTCCTCAAACATAGTTTCGCAGTGATTCGAAAACACTAAGAGAATATATAGGAGATCCCGAGTGTTAATTCGAAGAATCCGACGCGGTGAATTGTGTGGACTCTTATGTCTCCCAGCGTTGAGCGTGGTAGCCTTGACTGGTGGCAGGCCACAGTGTGATAAAGTATATCAAGGCCGCTCGGATGGGGACATAGGGTAGGGTGTAAGAAGACACCGGAGAGCGTTCCAGGCAAATATAAGGCCACTAGTGTCCGGTGGCCAATCTGCGAGATTTTTTCTTTTTCCCTTTTTTTTTTCTTTTTTATTTTTTTTAACGCTCTCTCCTTAATAGGAACCACCGAACCACTGGGGGGCAAATCGAATGGAACAGTTCGTGGGGAACGCCCTTAACGTTCCGCGCGGAAAGGCCGTTGAACGACTTTCAATTGGCTGCCGAACCGCCGCCGCCGTAAAAGTTCAAGAGACGTTTTCCGGAATCGAGAACAGAACTTGGATGGAATAAGTCAGTGGGAATATCATGATGATGTGGAGAAGTAGGAGGCAGCGTATTAAAAAGAACATGCGAGAGTGGTATTTTCGCCCCCTATTCAAGTGATATTCTTTTCGCTTTGAGAGAGCCAGCAGAACAATGATCAGTGCGTCTCCTTCTCAGGGGTTTCCGATGTGACTTAGTCCAAGTTATTGGGTTTTTTTTCCCTCCTTCACCAAATCGACTCCGGCCAGACTCGTCACACGTGATCCCGGCCAATTAAAAGCCTTTTGCAGCGTTTGCAATTCCCCGTATTCAGCCCAAGAATTAAATTAAACTGCACTGCAGAGTCATCGTCGCTAAGGATTAGTGCTCCTCCAGCGTACGACTCCGTACATCTCCTCCGAAACGGTCTTACTCGGTTACTACGGCGTTATCCGAGTGGTTGTCCTAAAATGAAACACTAATTCGGTTTCTTATGCAATCCGTCGTGAATCTCAGCCTCTGGGTTCGGTGATTTACGTGATCACGAAGGAATTGTGATGGATCGAAACCATGCGAGGCGCGCATGTGTCAGATAAAGACCACGATAGACTACGTATCATCTATGAGACCGACCTGTCAAGACCATACCTTTAGCTGGGTTTACTGGAGGAAGTCTCTAGGAGTGGAACGAACGGGATAGTCCGTCGTACTCCAGTGAGTCGGTTAAGTGCCCCGGGGCTCGGAGTTGGGTGCCGACGCCGACTCCGATAGTTAAGGCCAGTCATGATAGGAGCGGGTCTCTTCATTTAACTCATTACTCCAACAGTCTCCAACCCCGACACTATCTATACCCTAAACCTGTACAACCCCCGCAGCAGGCACAGACTTCCTCTTCAACACTCCCTCCATCTAGTCGTATTCCGTCTTTACCGACCTGAACCATGGCCGCTCTATTGAAGCAGCCGTTGAAACTAGCCCTGGTGCAGCTCGCCTCCGGTATGTTTCACCCATGCGATCGTCGTTAAAACGCCCCTGATCAACTCCGGACTAACTGCGAGCCTGGCACGATGGAGTAGGCGCGGACAAAGCCGTTAATTTGGCCCACGCTCGCACTAAGGTCCTTGAGGCAGCACAGGCTGGAGCCAAGCTCATCGTCCTCCCGGAATGCTTCAACTCGCCGTACGGAACCCAATACTTTCCCAAGTACGCCGAGACTCTTGTTCCTTCGCCTCCTACCGAAGATCAATCTCCTTCCTATCATGCCCTGTCAGCCATTGCTGCCGAGGCCAAGGCCTACCTCGTAGGAGGTAGCATCCCCGAACTGGAACCCACAACGAAGAAATACTATAACACATCCCTCGTGTTCTCCCCCACTGGGTCGTTAATAGGGACCCACCGCAAGACCCATCTGTTCGACATCGACATCCCAGGAAAGATCACATTCAAGGAGAGCGAGGTCCTATCGCCCGGACACCAGTTGACAATTGTTGATCTTCCCGACTATGGAAAGATCGGTGTTGCCATCTGTTACGATATCCGTTTCCCGGAGGCGGCCATGATTGCTGCGCGAAAGGGCGCTTTCGCACTCATCTACCCGGGCGCTTTCAACATGACTACTGGTCCCATGCACTGGTCTCTGTTGGCACGCGCTCGTGCAGTGGATAACCAGGTGTATGTGGGGCTGTGTAGCCCGGCGCGCGATATGGATGCCACTTACCACGCATGGGGTCACAGTTTGATAACCAACCCAGCTGCGGAAGTCCTGGTAGAAGCGGAGGATAAAGAGACTATTGTCTATGCTGATCTGGATAATGACAGTATTCAAAGCATACGGAAAGGCATTCCTGTCTATACACAGAGGCGGTTTGACCTGTACCCCGATGTGAGCGCCGGGAAATAGGCCTGTCATTATCAAGTGCCCAGGAGTAACACGAATCGAGTCATGATATCCAGTGCTTATAACGGTTAATCGAACCTAGTGACTTATACACCGCCAGAAGTAGTACTGATAGTATAAAGTTCGATGAGACTCCTGTAGCAGCCCGAGACTCTTTACTAACAGGTCCTGAAATACCTTTAAAGAAATAAGCCGCGCTGCACCCGACCCACGTCTGTACTTTTCTAGTTAGGACCGTAATGCTTCCATAGGGTACTGCAAGGCGCGGGCACCAATAGGAGAATGATATCATGTTACTTGCGCTGTGGCTACCCCAAGGCCTTGAGTTGCACTAGTGATAAGATTTAGAGGCTTAATGGTGGGCGGTTGGAACGCTTGGTGTCTTGAAGCAATACACCAAAAAACCGACCAGAACAATGTCCATCCACATCAACTGCGCTCCATTGAATTAGGGCAATGTAGGAGTATATGATATGCGCTATACCCAATCCAGAAGGACTATACCTCCGGGTCACGTGGCAATGTATCCACGCAGTACTGGTACGTACTCACCAACGTGCTCTTTGACCGGAGCAGAGGATATGTTCAAGAATGTCAGGTAACTGTTGTTATGTGTCCGTTCACTATTCAGTATCACCTGAAAAAGAACATTGGCCATTGAGTAGTGTGACGACCTGCCTGTTCCTTGAAGTAGGTCATGACATATGTAGTCACGTGATTCGCCCGCAGCCAATGAGAGGGGCTCCGGGACGATAAGCGAGACACACTGAATTTCGACGAGGAAAAACGAGAGCCGTCCGAAAATCTTCAATACTCACGACAGCACTTCAGCCAACGACAGCCGACGCCTCGTCAACTCATTCAGTGAGTAGCTCTCCTGCAACCCATCTATATTGCGATATCCATCGCTCTGTGAAAAAATAAATCTCAATCGGTTTGAGACCACTAACCAACCGGTGAAAATTCAGAAATGTCCACCACCGTTCAGACCGGCAAGAAGCAGCGCTCGGCCATCGCCGATGTCGTCTCGCGCGAGTACACCATCAACATGCACAAGAGAGTACGTTGAAACACAACAGGATGAGACTCTTGGTCTTCTCTTATCCCTACCTTGCACACATCGGTCGCATTTCTCATCGATCGAACCCCCCGATCTGCGGAACAAGAACAAACATCCAAGTTTCGACATGGAGGCAATGGACGGAGAACACTGCAATAATCCTTCTGGCACCAAAACCTTTTCTCGGTGGATTGGAATACATCTACAGAAAAAAGGAAGGGATGAAACATGCCTGCTTTTGCGTGTGTGTGGAGGAACAATTATCTGGTGTTCCCAAGAAACCAAGACCAAAAAAGAAGAATTAGTTTTATGAAGTCCACCTCTATGGCCGCAAATCTTGTTCGCAGATTTTTTTCAAGATCATATTTCCCAGATGGCATTCGGGCGGAAGACTAATTCAACTTTTTTGTGGGTATAGTTGCACGGTGTTTCCTTCAAGAAGCGTGCTCCTCGTGCTATCAAGGAGATCAAGGCCTTCACTGAGCGTGCTATGGTATGTTCCCTTTTTTTTTTCTCCCTGTATACCTACTCGACTCCAAAGAGCATCCATGACTGACGACAATGTGTACTTGGTACAGGGCACCAAGGATGTCCGCGTCGACCCCCAGTTGAACAAGAAGGTCTGGGAGGCCGGTGTCAAGGGCGTTCCTTACCGTCTCCGTGTCCGCATCTCCCGTAAGCGTAACGACGAGGAGGGCGCCAAGGAGAAGCTCTACTCCATGGTCTACGCCGTCAACGTCAAGGAGACCAAGGGTCTTCACACCGCTGTCGTCGACGAGGAGTAAACGGGGAAAATCTTCTTCATTTCCATATTAGATATACCTTTTGTTACTCTATGAAATGATGGGGTTTCTCTGTTTTTACGATACCGTCCGGGTCGGGTCTTGCTCGGTTGGGTTGGAACATTTAAATTAAAAAAATCGGAAAAGTTTCTTTCCCTGTCGTGATCCGCATATTGCATTTTATAGTGTAAATCAGCATCCACACTCTCGTAGACTCTATTTATTGTACAACGGGAACTGCATGGACATACCATCACAGCTTAGTATCCTTCCACATAAAAAAAATCCCACTCAACTATCCAAAGCTACTCCCAACAGAACTCCATTCACATGCCAATTCCAACCCAAAAAGAAGCCCAGCATACTCAAACCCCAAACCCACAGAACAATGATAGGACGACCGACCATTACCCCTTTTCGACCCGATCCACAGGATATATAGTACTACTATCCAGAACAGTAGACCGGCACTAACAGAAACTAAGGAGAGGGGGCCGGTGTCAATATCCAGGAAGATATTTCTGAATTCCATTACGTTCTGTTGCGTGTTCTGGGCGGATCATTCTGCATACGGAGTAGAGGGTTTGGAAATGGAATCGGAGGGCTAATTGAGTATGGAATTTTACTGGATAACTAGGGGTGTGGTGGATTCTTTCCTGCTCGGTTGGAAAGTAGTAGATTAAATAGATTCTATTGGGGGGGGGGTTATTAGTAGGGGGCTAAGCTAGTCTCTTCGGAATCAGTTTCCGGTCTGTTCGTGAGAGGTAATTTCTATGTTGAGATGACAGGAAGGACAGAGTTAACATTCGCTGTTGATTTGTTGCAATATCACTCTGTGCAGACAGCGCGGTGCCCGTATATTATCTCTAAATAACAAAAACCAATTGATTCCATTGATCCCTCAAAACCCAAACGCTATGCTAGACTTCGTCTCTGGTTGGACAGACGACGACATGATGCTCTCCGAGTATGCGGTTGCAATTGCAGCATGCAAGATAGTTACACAAGTGCCTCAGATTGATCAAAAAGATAAGGACACAAAAAAAAAAAAAAATGGAAAAACAGATGAGTGCGATGGCGAAACAGTAACACCGGATGGGAAGAAACAAGACTCAAAATCGAATTAGAAACGCGGTGGTGCTAAGACATGTCCCAGAAATCGTAAGGTCTGAAGTACAATAGGACAAAAAGGATTCGGCGCTGTGAGGGATTGGACTTGATCATGATAGCTGGAGAAAGAAGCAGAAAGCCATACATACGGCGTCTGAATTTGAACATGTTCCAACAATTGCTTTTATAAAACAGGCGGGGAGGAAGGGAAACTATAAAGTAAAAAGGCCATAATACATCACCAGTTATTATCAACCTGGAAAGAAGAGCATCATGATGGTGGTTGATTGCATCCAATGTACCACGTCTGTTCAGAAAGCAGAAGAGTTCAGCCAACTAAGTCTTAGTTTCTTCCATAGCAGACCCGAGGCGTTCCGCTTCCTCTTTCTTAACCCGGATTGCCCATTGTTCCGGAGGTCCATCGGCTTGGGGTACAAGGAAGTGCACGCTGGTGCCCTTCACAGTGTAACTGATTTGCTTGACCAGTGATGCGTTGAGGACAATGTTGCCGCTTGGGTCAGCTCTAAGGATAACACGGCCACGAGAGGTAGTGCGATCCTTCAAGACACGGAGGAATCCCAGTCCCTGGCTGTTCCATCCATCTTTAGTGAGCTTCAAGCCACGGCCTTTAGTCTCGAACACAACATCCTCATTCTCTTCACCGGCCCGACTTTGGGCAAGGTTAACCTGAGGCAGAGCCTCAGCCGCATCACCATCTCCGGACTCCTCGGCTCCCGTGTCGGATGCAATTCCAGGAGTGGACGCGCGGCTGGCAGCAGCAGAGCTGACAGTGGACGGAGCCAGGAATGATGGCGGTTGCGCAGGTCCACCAAAAGTGAAGCCAGGCGAGGGGGACCCAGTAGCAGAAGATGCAGATTTGATAGCAGGTGCCGCTCCGAATAGTGTGGAGAATGGCTTGGACGAATCGGCAGCCGGCGTCGCGGATGCGGAATCAAGCTTCGACGTAGAAGCCGCATTTGTGTCACTGGCAAACTTGATGGGAGAATTCATCTTCCAGGTATTATCAGTACCGGCCTTTGCGGCGCTTGGAGCGAAGATAGATGGGGTGCCTGCAGCAGGGCTAGGCGAGGGAGAACCAAACAGGCTGGAAAAGGGGTTCGGAGTTGCGGGCTTCGAGGTGGGAGCATCATCTTTCTCGGCATCAGACTTAGAGGGAGTCGGAGCAAATGGATTTGGCGTTCCCGGTGAGTTGAACGAGGACGCATACTTGGAAGAATTGAAAAACGTAGAAAGGGGCTTTTGTTCCTCGTCGTCCTGACGCTTCGGCTTTCCGTCTTGCTTGTACTCGACACGGTCAAACAAGCTACGACCGCTCGCGCCTGTATCACTGGCAGATTGCTCGCTTGTAACGGTCTTATCTTGCTTCGACTTTTTCAGAGCCTTGGTCAGATCACCGTCGTCGCTGCTGTCGTTGGCAGAGTTCTCAGCGCTACTGCCGGCATCGGCTTTAGACACCGAATCTTCGTTGCTTTCGTCTTCGCTTGCGGGCGCAAGGGATGTATCCTTGGACATATCCTCTGGCTCATCACCAGCGGCAGACGCCTCCTCGGTGTCATCGGCGTCGTCGTTCTCCTCAGCCTCAGAAGGTGTTGCTGACAAGTGACCAAATATGTTGTTGGGCGTGGCTGATGAGTCGGTCTTCTTGTCAAATATTGAAGCACTAGGAACCGAAGTAGATGCCTTCTCCTTCTTATCTGAATCACTTGTATCCTCATCTTCAAAAACAAACCCCTTTCCAGGAACAAACTTCGAGCGTTTCGCAGCTTGAGACTCAAATGCCTCTTGCTTTTTCCGGCGTTCTTCGGCGTCTCTTTTCTCCCATTCAGCCTCGTCTTCTTCATCGGAATCGAAATCTTCCGCCTTGCGCTTTTCCTTCTCTTTTTCAGCATCCTTATCTACCTGTGCCTTGAACTGGGCGAAGAAGTTCGTTGCTCCGGCGCTGAATTTGGGCATGCCAGGAACAGGGGCTGGTGCAGCGCCAGCTTGCTTATCACCTGACGGCTTTAGGACGAAAGGATTCGAGGTAGTAGGAGTGCCATTAGTAGAGGCATTGGATGTTGGCTTAAAGGAGGGGGCAGATTGCGAAAACAGTGACGTCGATGTGGAGCTTTCCTTTGTGGTGGTCGAGGCTGCGAAAAGAGGCTTGGGAGGAGAAGAGATAGGCGTAGTGGAGAACAAAGCAGGTGCATCGGAGTCTGGGGTAGATGGCCTGGCGGAAGAAGTTATGGATTGAGTAGAGTTAGGCTTAGTTGGCTCATCACTTGACTCAGAGGTTATGGATTTTGAAAAGGACTGTGCGAAGATGCTCGCCGTCGTGGAGTCTCCGTTGACACGCTTTCCTGGCGAAGCTGTGGTCTCATCCTCATCGGCCACCTTTCTCTTGCTGGTGGTCGGAGTCGCTTGGCTTGCTCCGAAGATGTTGGTGGCCGGAGAGCCAGTCACGGCTGTGGCTGGGGCGGGCGAAGAGCTTTCTTTGCTAGAGGCAGGCTTCAGACCGAAGGGCTTGACCTTTTTAACGGAATGATCATCAGCAGTTGCACTTTCGTCCCCAGCTTTACGCTTTTGGGGCCCAGCTGGCGCTCCAATTGTGTCACGAACTCGCATGTAAAATTGCACGAGAGCATCAAAGTCGTCTTTAGTAGGATCCAAGCGATTCACTTCGCGTTTGAAACATTCATTCAACATGCGCATGCGATACAACATCTCCACTTCTTCCTTGCTTGCCTTATCAAGATCAGCAGGAAGTCCAGATGGTCGTATGTCCTCAAAGCTTGTTGCCGAGCTCTTTTCGGTAACAGAAGCCGATGAAGTCGACGAGTCCGTACTTGTGCCATTAACCTTGAATGGGCTTTGAGAAGGTGCCGGGGCAGTCACAGCTGGAGCTTGGGTCTTACTTCCTCCAGTAGGGGCGGGGAACAACGGTGACTGCGCGAAAAGACCAGAGGATTTAGAGGCATCCGATCCTGATGTGGGTGCCGAGAAAAGCGGTGCAGGAGTGACCGGCTTCTGTGGCTGACTAGACGCCTCGCTAGATGTGGAAGGCTTTGGTGCGAAAAGGTTACCGAAAGCGTTAGCAGAGGGCAGCGACTTCTGCTCCGTGGAGGGCTTCTGCTCTACATCTGGCTTGGCCGGGGTAGCTGGTTTTGGCGCGAAGAGGCCGCTAAATGGGTTTCCTTCGGCAGGTTTAGATTTGTCCTGCTCCGCACTGGAAGTGCTCTGCTCTGCAGATGGCTTGGGGGCAAACAAACTACCTGTAGACGGAGGCTGGAATAGGCCGCTTGACGGAGCCGATGGAGCTGCAGAACTTGCACTCGTTGAGAACAAAGACGGGCTACCGGTGGAGGGCGTAAATTGGAAACCAGTCTTAGATTGAGACTCCTCGAGTTTCTCCTCTTGCTTTTGTTTGGCCTCCGAGGCCGGTGCTGCGGTTGATGAAGCGGGTGTGCCAAACAGGTTTGTGGACTGGAATGGATTCTGGAATGATGAGGTGGGTTTAGCAGACGATGAAGCTCCGAAGATAGACGGTGATGGAGCGGCGGTGGTGCTCGAGGCCGCGGGGGTAGATGAAGCGGGAGCAGGAGTAGAACCAGGTTGAGTAGTCGCGCCAAAGAGCGAGGTCGATGGAGTTGACTGCTCCGTGGGCTTAGCACCAAAAAGAGGCTTGGGTGTCTCGGCGGGTTTTGATGTGGAGCCACCGAACAAGGAACCAGCCCCAGAGCTAGCGAAGTTCGTGGAGGTTCCGAAGCCAGACTGAGAGGCACCACCGCCAAAAATAGGCGGCTTTGACTGCGCACCGTTGTTCTTTGCATCAGGAGATGTCTGCATAGACTCGCCAAAGGCACTGGACTGTCCGAATGGGGAGGGCTTATTCGAGGCAGATTGGCCGAAGATGTTTGTTGACGGAGCATTGCTGGAAGCACTGTTCTGTCCGAAGATACTGCCTGTGGTAGCGGGAGCTGTCGTTGCAGGTTGCCCAGAGGATCCACTGGTCGTACTGCTGCCAAATAAGCCTCCAGTAGTGTTGTTTTGTTGCGATCCTGTTCCAAAAAGCCCTCCCGAGGGCAAAGGTTGCTGGGCTGGGGCCGAACTACCAGCTGGGGGAACATTGAACATGTTTCCCTTGAAGCCAGAGAAACTGCCTCCATCGGACGACTGGTTGGTGGAACCAGTAGTCATGCTAGCAAAAGGATTACTTGATGTCGATCCTGATCCACCAAACGATGAAGAAAAATTGAATGAAGACGAGCTACTTCCACCGGAACCGAAAGAGAACGGTGTCGATCCGTTTTGGGTCGGTTGACTAGGATTTGAACTGGCACCGGGGAAGCTCTGTGACTGGCCAAATGAAAACCCATTTGAGATTGGTTGGGGCGCAGACGGTGTAGAGACAGCATTGGGGTCAAGAGAATTGAAAGGGCCGCCAAAAGACGCTGTTGCACTGGGGGCAGCTGTGTTGGGACGAGTTCGCCTCCGAACGTCCTTAATCCTATCCAAATATGTTAGAGATCCAATATAGTGGCTAGATATATATGCAAGGAAGTCATCATATACGCATATTGAAGGGCCGAGGACGGATGAGTTCGAGCACAATGCGATTTACAATGACAAGGGTATGTTGAATAAGATTGCTGAGTAGGACAAAGTGGCACAATGAAACAAAGATAGGACACAATTAATCACTTTGAGATATGGCAGGCTGCAGGTAAAGGCCAACAATATGGGACAGATCGCAAACGTAGGTCTATATCCACTTACTTTCTCTGCGCCATCTGCGCAGCGGTTGCCCGCTGCGGCTTTTCATCTGGTGTGCTGTTCATATTGAAATCAAACAAGTTGGAATCCTTGTCCCCCTGAGGGCCCTGGGCCGATCTTTTCGACATCTATTGTATTAATAGTCCCCCTGTCTAGGCTTGAAATGCCTCGGACAAACAAATAATAGTCGACTTCGCCCCCTTCCTAGACCTGTGTTCAAGCCCCTTCACTCGGATTTCTCATCCACAATGTGGGCGGTTTGATCGTGTTGGTCTTCTTCCGGGCAGCTAGTGCTTTACTCTTGGTTCCAACTGAGGGATCCAGCGCCGATTGTCACGACGATTTATCGAAGCGACCGGCGCACGAGTCCGAGAGACGGGAGAGTAAGTATGCGAGAGACGATCCGGAAACCGTAAATGACAGGACCTCTCTATCGTCGTTTTCTAGGTCACTGAATATTATTCCAGTAACTGTCACGTCTCTTCCCGGATTCAGTGAGATGGATAAGGCCGGGACGCTGGCGCGCTGGGTAGGTGCTTCGGAGATCGATCGCGACGTGCGCGAGGCAACGAGACGGGAGTTAGGGTGAGGAGGGATGAGAAGGCAGAGCGGTATAAATACAGCGCTCTCTAGGATATCAAAAGGGCAGATGCCTTGCTTTTGATATGCTCTGCCTTGGATTGGGATAGTCGTGGCTCCGAACGAGCTTCGTTTCAGTTTGCCTTCACAAGAGGCTCGCGACTTTTTTTGACGGGGAAAGTCGCCCATGGAAAAAAAATACAGTCACGTGAGAATGCAAGGCGACCCTCTTGGCAGGTTGACAGGCCACCTCTAATAGTATGGCAAAACACCCGAGAGAATGCAATATCATGCAAGGAAATAAATAAACAGTCGATATTAATGGCAGATTTCGATGCTTCGTATGTGACAGCTGCACTTGAAGGAGGGGTGATCTTTTGGGGGGGGGTCTCTCATGTGGATTAGTACCATTATTCACTACATAAACAGACAACCCTGTATTGCTTACCATGGGTGTTACATACTTGCTAACTATGTACACATCTGGGTATGTATGCACACAATCATATCACCCTTCGCATCTAACACTGGGGAAATAAAATATGAGTATATATATTCACACATTAAAATTATCTCTACAGGGTGTCTAATGGTAGTAGTGGTTTTCTCAAGTTACTGTTTTGATGTCACGTATCATGATGTCAACCGGATATTCGTAGTAGAATATATTCCGGGTATGCCATATTAACATCTACGTGATTTCTTGTCGGTGGCAACGACAATCACAAGATAAAGCATACATACATGTCAAGGAGCTATTTATTTATTTCTGTAGTATCCTAAATATTTAATACCCAAAAAAGGTCTACCTATACATTATTGTTTTTACACACCATGCCTACAGTACAGGAAATGAAAGTGATCTGCAATGAAGTCATGTCTCATACTAAGTATTCCCTGTAGCTAAAGCGAGGGTGTAAGCTTTTAGAGTGGCTTCTTGCCCTACGTAAATGAAAAGAAAAACCGAGGGAAAAAAAAGGTTCATCAGACGAACAAAAATATACATTTAACCGAAATACTACACAACGCAACTGGGTATCTATAGCTTGGCCTTGCCCTGGGCCTTCTTGAGGACGGGCTCCATCTTGGTCGCCTTCATGATGTTACCCTTGATCTTGAGCTTGCCTCCCATGAAGAGTCTCTGGGCGTTGGCCTTGCCGCTAACCAGGGAAGCGAAGTCAGAGTCGGAGAGGGACAGAGTCACTGTTATTCGACGACGCGATTCAGTTAGCTTCTTTATCACCAGAACAAAGGAAAGACGCCGGTGCGACACTAACCATCAGCCTTGGCACCCTGAGGAGCAGCACCCTTGCCCACAACACCCTCGTTCTTGAGGTCGAGGTACCAGCTATCTTCCTCGCCCTTCGCGTTCTTCAGGTTGAAAGAGACGATGGCCTTGGCCTTGGAGACAGCGTCCTTGCGCTCGGCAGCATCGCTCTGGAGAGCGGCGTTGATCGCGTCGAAAGCAGCGGAGGAGGGGAAAGCGTCTAGATAATAGATATCGTTAGCGATCGACTTACTAAAATTTAGAATATTTGGCCAGTGGGTAAAAGTTGGCCAGGAGAGTGACGAACCGTTCTTGAGAGACATGGTTACGGTTTTGTGATAACACAGTAGTGAGAGAACGTATATAGTAGTGGGTGGGTGAGAGCTAGTTGATAGTTGAATAGTTGTGTGTCCCAGGGAAGAGAGGAGAGAGAAGATTTAAATAGAACGAGTCTGGGGAATTAAAAACCAGGGACGTCAAGCTTCCCCGGAGTGTTCGGGGCATGTGAATGGAGGGCGGTCGCGGAATTCATGTCTTGTCATGCGGACCGAGGCTTTACCAGCCCTTTTCCTGGCTCTCACTCCTGTGATTTCTGGTTTCTATTAAACCATTTCCAATGCATTATGCTTGCATAGCTGGAGCAATACAATTTTTGAGTTCTCCTTACAAGCCCTGGATCTACAAATTTCTCCCGTGCTGGCCAATGTCGAGGATCAAGCCGTAAATGATATTGCGCCGAGAGAATATACTGATGGAGAATCTCGACTCTGTCCACATGGTTACATACACAAAAGCCCCGCAATTAGGATGAGAAAAGACCAACGCGAAACAGAGGGGCTGGAACCCTACAAAGAAAGATGACTACTGATTAAATTTATGGCTGGGAGGTTGAGCCCCCAACAAGAACCAGATCGATGATTCTAGAGAAACAAATGATCTTGATGAAGATCAGCATTGCCTATTGCGGTAAGCAGCCCGAACCACTGCATCACTGAGATTATGTAACTATGTACAGCACTAGTGGTATGTACTAGTTATGTACGGAGTACTCTGTCCCATATTATAATTGCAAACGAGCTGCTCGCGTGCTCATGTCATACGGGAGTCAATTGTAGTCAGGCTTTTTGTTTTTTGTTTTGTTTTGCTTTTTTTTCTCTTTCATTTCATTCTAATTTCTGTCTTCCCACCAATACAGAGGAATTAATTAACACCGTGTTGGTGTGATAATAAAATAAATAAGTGCACATTTCCAATAAAGGGGGGGAAGACCAAAAAACAGGTGAAAAGAGAAGAAATCGAATCTCAATCTCACCACAAACGACCATCTCGGTTCGATGTGATTAGCTCAGAAATTCGCCGAGAAAAACATATCGCCCCTCTTAGTAGATTCGATGGACTTGAGTAAAAAGTGATTTTGGTTTGATAACACAACAGTCTATGGCAAGACATAGCACAATCTCACCCAAGTGAGAGGAAATACAGGGCGAATAGATCTTGGGTATCTTCTAGAGGATACAAATCCAATTCAATGTTTAACTCAGAAATCCGCCAACGCCATGCTGATGAGATAAAATATAAAACCACCCCTAGTGAACTCCCTAGGTATGAAGTTAGCATTGAGCGACACGGTCAAAACGAAGGAACGGATTGGAAACACCTACAAATAAGTAAGCCAGCTCTCGGGTTCCCAGTCTAGAGATATTCTTGGAGGCTTTCTCGTCCAAAGCTCCTTCAATTAGCTCTCGTTTCTTATCCTGAAGTTCAAGGATGCGGTCTTCAACGGTGTTCTGCACGAGAATCCGATGAATGTGTACCTCTCGCACCTGTCCAATCCGATGCGCGCGGTCGATTGCTTGTTCTTCGATGTATGGATTCCAGAATGGATCGAAGATAATAACCTGTGAGGCGGCAATGAGGTTCAAGCCAGAGTTACCCGCTTTCAACGAGACCAGCATAATCCTGCAATCGGGGTTATCGGTGAAATCCAGCACTGCGGAGTTTCGGTCTCCTGGCTTCATGCTACCATCATACCGCCGATAACCCCAGCCCTGACGCACAATCGGAACTTCGAGCAAGTCAAGCAAAGACGTGAACTGACTGAAAATGATTGTCTTCTCCTCGCCCCCCTGGATACCCCGCAGAATCTCCATGGTCTTTTCAATTTTAGCGCTCGACACCCAAGTCTTCTCCAGTCGTCGGAGGTACTTGCGTTTCGATTTCTGATTTTTCGAGGCTTCTTTCTTCAGTTCAGCAAGTGTTTTCTTAGCCTTGGCCATTTTACCTTTCCCCTTACGCCTGGACTTCTTGGGAGAGCTGTGATTATCCTCCTCATCATTGACAATAAATCGAGTCAGACTGTCGTCGTCATCGCTATCATCACTCTCGTCTTGCTCCTCTGCAGGCTCGGCGGGCTCTTCTTCAACTAGGTCCTGGGAGTGGTCAGGGTCATGGACCTTTTTAAACGACACATGATCGGTAATCTTCTTCGGGTCCACTTTGCCACGGCAGTTAGGACACTTCACTTCCACGGCACCGTCGTGACCCTGCCTCAGAGCCAATGACGGGTCGGAAATCCTTGAGAAGCATTCTGCACAGGTGCTATGCCCGCAAGGGAAGAAGATGATTGGGTTTTCAACGGCATCCATGCAGATGGGACATTCGAGATCATCATTGTTGCTTCTCAAGCGGATCACAACATCCTGATCGAACTCTTTCGCGTTCGCAATCAGATCTAAATCGTCCGTGTTCGCATTGAGTTTGACGCTAAAGTCGGTAATTAAATGGGGATGGCAACACGCCTGTCGCAGCCGAAGGAGTAAGACTAGAATATTGGAGTAGTTTCGCCCCACGGTTCCAGCCTCGAGGTACCTGTTGAACTGGAGTTGAGTTCGAGCCTCGAGCGAATTGTATAACTCTAATTCATCTTCACTGAACACAGAGTGCACTTTTTCTGAGATCCGTTGTGGGAGTTGTAGAATTGGTTTCCCATCAATCTTGGAGTCTTTAGTTCGCCGCAAGAGTACCGCCTTCAGAAGTACCTGAAGTTGTCTCATTGCTTTGCGCTGTGCACTAACACTGGACCCCTTGAGGGGCCGTGTGAAGTCGTGATTGAACCGCTCCAAATTGCTGTAAGGCTTGATGCGGAGAAATCTCAAGAGTGAGTGCAACTCTTCGACATTGTTCATCATGGGAGTTCCGCTCATACACCAGCGATAGGTGGCATTAAGGCGACAACAGGCGAGGGCAGCCTTTGTGTTACGGTTCTTGATACACTGTGCTTCATCAATGATTACACGATACCACTTGCTGGACGGTCCAAGACACGGTAAAGATTTGGCAATTTCCCTCAGGGTTTGTTCGCTCGCATCAGATGACTGTAACTCATCGTATTTTTCCCGCCGCTTGAGTTCGGAAGACAACGTTCCAAAGGTAGTGAGAACCACGTCATAGTTCTTCAGGTCCCTAAAGCTCACGGCTCGCTTTTCGCCGTGCAAAACATAGACCGAGAGTTGGTAACGGCCAGGCTTCAAAATTCTTCCGATCTCTCGCTTCCACTGCTGCATCAGCGCAACGGGGGCAATGATCAAAGTCGGTTTTCGCTCCTCATCCGTAGAGGGCCGGGATACCATGAGAGCAATGGCTTGAATTGTCTTGCCCAGGCCCATATCATCAGCGAGTATACCACCTTTTTGCTCCTGCTCCTCCATCGATTTCATCCATGCCAGTCCAAGCTTCTGGTGCTCCAACAACGTGAATTTGAGAGCCTCAGGAGTCCCCTCACGGTTTTCGGTAGAAATATCCGAATCGGGCCTAATAGTCTCCAGAAGTTGTTTGATCTCTTCATTAACCTTTTTAGGATCAGCTCCGTAGTAATCACTCATCCACTCCGGCAACTTGTTCATGTCGTAGCCGGTGGGACCTGGATAAAGAGGAACCGAGCTATCGTAGGGTGAGAAGGGATTAGGATATTTCCCGAAGATGGACTTCCCCGCATGTTCAAGCAGTTCCTTCCCAGCACTGAGCCTTGCCATAGTATTCTGCAATACATGTGGGCCGTATGAGGGACCAGGTCCACCGATGCCACTCGGACCGGGCATTGACTCTAGATAAGGGTACATATTGGAGTAAGGTCGCTGTTGCAGAAAGCTGTCTTGCAATGGGTAATGCGAACCGCCGATGGAATGCTGCGACACGAAAGGACGCTTGGAGGACGGACCGATGAGAAGCTCGAAATCATGGGCTGAGATCTCGGCAATATCACTATCATCGCTGTCAGGTGTGATGGTCGGTTGGAGGGGCTGATGCCCCGGCCGGTTTGTCTCAGGCAACGGAGGCGGTACGAATGGTGAACGATAAATATCTGTGGGCTGTATGGCCCCAGGTATTGATCGATTGACATTGGGAAATGGTGTGCCATTTCTAGTCATAAGAGCGGGGGAGGGCAAAGAAAACCCAGAGTAGTGAGTGGACGAAGTGCTTCTGGCGGAAGCTGGTCGAGGCGACTCTTGCAAGCCTTCCAGTCTACGAGCATACTCCTCGTCGAGGCGTTCCTGTTCCTTGCGCTTCTCGAGCCACTGTTCAGCTTTTCGCTGTTCGTCTTGGAGCTCGAGGATATCATTACTGTCCAAGCCCAGCACTTTTCGAAGTTCATCCATGCTGTCGTCAAAGCCATCATCCTGCTTCTGCCCCTGAAGACTACGCACAGGCAATGAAATCGGGCTAGAGGAAGGTATCTTTGTTGCGACCCGCTTTGAGGGTAACTCCAGATCATCAGTCCAGTCTGTTTCGGTACCATCATCAAGAGCGTGATTACGTTCATCGTCTTCTTCTCGCCCACGCTTTCGAATGGTCAACGGCCCTAAAGGTTGAGATGACTCCGCCAGCTTCCTCGCCGACTGAAATGGCTGCGACGGGGGAGACATGGTCGACTGATCCTGTCGTAAACCCCAGGGAGAGTTTACCGGACTAGAACGAGAGCTTCCATCCAACTGGGCTCGATACAAAAATGAGTTTTCCGGACCCTGGTGGGGAGCAAAGTGACTATGTGGCGGGCTCTTTGTGGCAGTACCGCGTAGTTCTGCCAGTCGCGTTTCTAATGTTTTGATAGCATCTAAAATCTCTTGCTTTTCAGCAACGGCATGTGGTCGTTGCTCTTCTAAGCTTTGCAGAATAACATGGTTTAACTGAAGATCTTCCAGGAGATCTTCTATAGACGCGTCAGTTGGGGAAGCCATGATGGATAGATAAATCCAAGTTGAGAATGTGCTTGTGAGCTTAGCGCCCAAAGCTGCCACCTCCACACAAAGGCGTTCGGGCTTCGAGATCAGGGATAATACACAGTTCTGCGATGCACATGAGCTAACTTGAGGTGCGACATTAAAAACTGAAGAATGTAAGATGTGGGATTAGTGATCGCTGGAGAAGATGATGTGTAGATTGACGATCGCGCTTGGCAGCGGAAAGTGGATGTTAATTCTGACGGAACAGGGCGTAAGAGAAAAAAATAGAAAAATTACAAAAATAAAAAAAAAGGAGGAAAGGAAAGGAAAGGGGACGGGCAAATACCCCGGAACAGGCTAGAAACACAAGAGGATATAATAGTGAATGAATATTAAGAAGCTGCTGCCTGCAATGTTGACTGGTGTAGGTGCCTGTTCATCCGTAGAAGGTGTAGTTTACATTATTCGTGGCAATCAACTCAGCTCGAGATTTTTTTCTTTATTTTCTTTTCCCCCTGCACTCTCCCCCTCCTCTGGATCTATCACATTATCGCATACACTTGCACATACACACCATATTGAAAACCTTTGTCAGCCTTAAACTATTAATATCGCTCATTCCTTTATATATGTATATATTCCTGGTACCGTTTCAGAGGATTTATTTACTTTTTTACTCTGATATATTACATTTGAGAGATCCATATATAGTCGTATCTATATATGGAGTATTCATAACCCAAATTTACTGTGTGATTGTATAGAACCGTCTATCAGAGATTCTTTTCTGGAAGTTATATCTGAAATCCCTGCACTAAAAGAACATCTACCGGTGAAGGTGTGTATATGTATACACCACTAGATAGTATTCGTGGTAGGTGAATTCTCGAGTCTCGTTACCTTGACAGTCTTCCCAACTAGGCAAAATGAAACATACACTGTAGATACCCCACATTCTATTCACTAGCCAACACTTTCTGACACAGACCAGAACTATTGACATCATGTATAGTGTTATGGATCATAATTACTACAGTTCATGGCATAGCTGATGATGTCTGCTCCACCCCCAATCTATCTCTATATATAAGTTGAGTCTAAGTGTATTCCCTGTCTCCTCTGTTTTGTCTTTCTCGTGAAATAAATGACGATGCTTTTGTTTGTTTTTCAATGGGCTATGCTAAAATAGCCAACAATCACAGAGCATGTTGTGGTTCTTTTGTGCTGTCAACAGTGTTATCGTTTCAAAAAAAAAATCAAGAACTTTGTGGAGAGTCTAGACTACTAGTAGTTATATGGAAAACGCATAATCATCCCCCGTCACCCTCAGGCCCATCCTCCGACCGCTATCGTTGTATCGTAATTCGAGACCTTGCATAACGAACCCAATAAGTTGGGAGGGACCACAGCCATAACGGTTGTCCAGCCCCATCCATCCATTTAATTCACGCTTACAGGTCGGCATCCTCCTCGTCGGGCAAAGGCATTTGGGCGGCAGCGTCCATCTCCGCCTGGTACTGCTTGAGAACTTCCTGGTCGACCGTGACCTCGGGAGGAGCAAGAGCAGGGGCAGCAACAAATTCCTAAATGCTATCTTAGCAGGCGACAACAGTGGACCACGGAAAGATAACTTACCAGCTGGGGGTTGCCGACCAGCTTCCGGGCAAGCCAGAGGAAGGGCTTCTCGAAGTTGTAGTTCGACTTCGCGGAGATATCGTAGTACTGGAGGTTCTTCTTGCGGTGGAAGGTGATGGTCTTGGCCTTCACCTTACGCTCCTTAACATCGACCTTGTTGCCGCACAGCACGATGGGGATACCCTCGCAGACACGGACGAGGTCACCTAGAAGTTGGGTTACCTACTGATTCACATGCGGTGGAGGTGACGAAAGAACTTACGGTGCCAGTTGGGGACGTTCTTGTAGGTGATACGGGAGGTAACATCGAACATGATGATACCGCACTGGCCGTTGATATAGTATCCATCTCTCAGACCACCGAACTTCTCCTGACCGGCAGTATCCCACACGTCGAACTGGATGGTTCCCAGGTTCTACCACAATCGTTAGTCGCCTGAATATAGGATGGCGGTATAACCCAAAGCGGGGTCCCGGGCGGGGCATACGGTGCTGAAAGTGAGAGGGTGCACTTCGACACCGAGAGTTGCGATATACTTCTTCTCGAACTCGCCAGTAAGGTGGCGCTTGACGAAGGTGGTCTGTAAGGAAAAAATGTTAGTGATAACGTCTCACTATCGGGTTGAGAAATCTGAGGAGGGCGGCGCAGAGGGCAGGATAAAGAGTGGGGATAGAGACGCCTTCTATGCCGGAAGATAGCGACCATGAGATATAGACTAGAAATATAAAGACTCTCTTTAATGAAAAAGAAAATGAATCCAACTTGCCTTTCCAGTACCACCGTCACCGACAAGGACAAGCTTAAAGGTTGGTGGGGGAGTAGCCATGGTGATGTTTATGTGAGAAGAAAATGTGAAAAAAGGTCTCAAAAACGATAAGGTCCCGGAAGAAGATGATGCGTGTCAAAAGTCGACAAACGGTTGCGACTGATGATAGATGAAGGGACGCGGTGTGTACGGTGAAGATAGGGTTTTTAGCACAGGGAGGGAACAAAGTGAAAGGCGAATCTGGTGATGGAATTTTTGCCCTGAGTCGGTCACCAAGTTTTACGTCACGTGTCTCAGCCTCAGGCACACATGCCCCGCAGGATTGCGGCAAACTGCATGGCTATCGATTACTTTAGGTACCAAAACAAATATACTGATATGATGTACGGAGTTGATGGGGGAAAAAGCTACCATGATGTTTTCCGTAAATGTTTTCAGACCATCATCAGTGATCCTAATTAGTAGCTCCTTTGTGACATCTTCTTGCTTGTCCCATTAAATAACTCTAGTCATTAAAAACTATTCGTATGCCTCGTCAAATACAAAGGCCTTGTCTTCAAATCACAAAGGAACGAGATGACAGCCCAATAAACCACGACCACCCCAATCCCGTCGCGGCACAAGCTCCAAGTCCATTTCTGTGGCATTAACCCCATCTTGACGGAGAACTTTGACGATTAAAGTACGCTGAAATGAAAGTCAGTCAGTCAGTCATTCGTAAAACTGGTCCTTTGCCTAAAGCGACAAACTGCCCCCAGGTACAAGTGAAACGAAGAGCAAAGGAGTAAAGGCTTACCCCTTCATTTTGTTGAACCATTTCGGCCACCTTCGAAAGACGCTCATGATTAATCCAATTAATGGCCCCAAAGCTGCGTATCTTGTCTCCCGCTTTCAGGCCAGCCTGATCCGCAGGACTTGCCGCTGCGACACTGTTTACTCTCGCGAATGGTGGCCCAAGCATCGTGGCATCCGACGAAGAATTGCCAGTCAAACTGGATTGTGTTCCACTAGACCCATTTGTATTACTGACAGAAGATGTACCGCCTTGCGCGTGATGGAGATTCGAAAAATGATCGTGAATACCCTTCTCGAGATATTTCATGACCTCTTTGTGGTCATAGCGGAGTCGAATGATTTTCGCGCGTATTGTGCGGACTGCCTTAGACTTAGCGACAGTTTGGATAAAGGAGAAATGTTCTTACTCTGGGCAACATCGATATCGGCTCGTGGGAAGTCGTCGAAGGTAGTCAGCGATGAATTCATGTTAACTCCATGCTGCGAAAGACCCAAATGATTAGATATGTACTTGAGGGTAGTAGCCATCTGTCCACTCACAGAAGTAAGAACACTGCTTAACGCCGAAAGCTCCTCCTCAATACGTTCCTTTTCCTGCATCAATTCGACCATGGAGAGCTTGGCCGGATCGCGTTCAGACCCTCCGGTCGTTGTAGGACCGGAGGCCACTGTTGGAGCATGAATATTGTCGTCCATATGTATTCCCATCCTAAGATAAAATCAGAGAGAAGCCAGACATCGCTGCAGCTGTTGGGATAGAAAGCTAAGAAGAGTTGTCTGTGACAGTGGTAATAAGGTGGTGGTGATAGCTTGGTGGGTCTTTGTTCTGGAAAATCTGGGGCAATCTTGGCGCATGACCTTTTAAAGACCCTCTCACGTTGCTTATTTATACGGCTGCAATGAGAAGCAGACATCAATCGATTTGAACTATTTTACATAGGAATAATTTGACTTTGGTGGATATATTCAGATTATGTGTTATGCAGGTCTAGTCAATTTTGATACCAAGCTTGTTACATGTACATTTCATTTGACATTGAAGTAGGTCGTACCTACCCATGCTTGCGCTGTTCCCAATTAGTCGTATGTAGGTTCTGTAGGAAGGTGAAGTTTATCCTCCTTCCGTCTTGGTCTGTTTAGTCTTACTGTGCTATGGGGCATGGCTTCCTTTTATAGCATGCACCTTACGTTCTTCTGCCCCACGAGCTTCATGTATTCTTATTGAAGGGATGATATGTGTTCTTCCCCACCGTGGGCTGTCCCATTCTATGAATAATCGTCATTCTATCCATCACTATGCAACGGCTCAAAGAAGAGGTGGCTGAAAAGCGCCACCTGGTCATGGGAGGCTTCGAATTAAAGGTAGAACATAGGAATTTAATTGATTCTCATGCGTCAGAAGAGCATATCCCAAGCTTCCTATCGTTCAGACGTTGGGTGAACAGCTTTAGGGCAAAAAAGAGCTACCACCCCTGCCAGCGTCTAAGATACGTGGAGGGCTGGTCGGATAATACGCAGGCACGCTGTGATAATACTAATGCATTGCCCTGCGGAGGACAGGATCTACAGTGGGAATGTCTCTCCGGTCACTCATCCAACCTGGAGACTATCAAGACGAGTACCTTGAGCGTTGCCAGTCAAAGTGTAGCGAGATCGAGGGGAACCACCCAGAGTACGAATCGGAGTGTCGGCTCAGAGCTACGTGGGTCGATAGAGAGCCTAAGACCAGCATTGAGCTTTACGATCGACGAAGAAGCACAAAACCGGGCTGTTAAGCGACGGAAAGTTCTTCGAGAGATTATTACCACTGAATCTGACTATGTATTTGGGTTGAAAGCTCTTATCAATGTATAGCTTGCATTGGCTTCAAAGAGTTCGCTTCGAATCTGACTGGTTGATCATCCTAGGTGCTTTTCCTTTTCTCCACAAGACCGGAGATCTACCACAACCTCCACCAAATTCGAGAACTACACGAAGACCTTCTGGCACGGATCCGCAAGGTGACACCGATGTCTAGCCTTGCTGCAGAAGAATATGACAGATTGGTACCTCATGGCGTACATGGGCGCTTCAATCCTACCGATCTAAGCCCGAGAGCACTTCGGAATAGATCTATGAGAACATGTCATTTTAAGAAATCTGTAATTTCGCGCTTTAAAGCACTTGCAGCAGAAGCGGATGAAGCACTGGAAGTAGCGGTTGAGATTGGGAAACTAGTACGTTGCCGGAGCTTGCCTGATTGGCAGTGCTGATACCTGGTTCTGCAGCCAAAGTCCTTCACAGCATATATGAATTTCTGTAGCAACTACGAGCAGCTAACGGAGGATGTGGATATTCTACGTCGATCAGTGCCGAACTGGTCGGTTTTGGAGAATGGTATTGAAGCCTTGTCAAAGTCGGTAGCGTCGATTGAGTACCAGGCCCTCGAACATAACAAATCAATGCTGTTGCATGACCTCCTCATAAAGGTTAGAATTAACAGCTCAAAAGGATGTGCATCTAAATGCTGATGGAACCTCAGCCGATCCAACGCCTTTGCAAGTATCCATTACTGCTCCAAGAGTTACTAAAGTGGACCCATATCCAGGATGACCCGACTGCCCATGACGGGATTCACCAGGCATTGGAGAGCGTTCGTACGATGATCAATCAAATCAACAACGCACCTGGTAATCCGGTCAACAAAGGGATGGTTCAGAAGACCCTATTATTACAAGAGATGCTAAGGCTCCCCAGGCTGGTAAGTAACTGGACTGATATGAATCTAGTAGCTTGCGTACGAGCGGGATTTGATCAGATTCTAGGTTGCTCTTCATCACATTTACAAACAATTGGGACCCATGACCCTTTGTGGAGTGCTCCATGCCACATATCAGTCTTCGACGTGCCTTGCCGGTGACTATATGGTCTGTGTCTTGTTCAAGAGCCACTTTTTGCTAGCCAAAATCAACAATGACGATCGCAGCTTAGGGGTGGTCGCGTGTTTGTATGTCTGCGATGCGAAGATCGATACCCTGAGGAATGGAAAGGGTAAGAATGCTCTCTTCTTTCCCTTTTCCCTCTCCGCCCTATGCTAAGTCGCAGAATAGGCCTCTGCTGCCATGGGTGCTTTTTCTCATGGAAATTGGTTTTTCAATATCAAAATAACAAATATGAGCTTGTTTTGAGCGCCTCATCCGCGTACGAAGAAAAACAGTGGAAAACGGAGTTTCTCAAGTCGGCCGCAATATCGGCTGATATGCAAAGGCCGGTGTCCTCGGAGCTGCGAGGATATTCCTTCTTGACCTTGGACTTGGCCCCTCTGGATCAAGTGTTGAGTTCCGAGCCTTCATTCTCTCGTACGGCCTCTGTCCACTCGGTAGCAATTTCGCGCGTGGAGTCCGACCTGCAGCATGTAGTGATCAAGAGAACGCACTACCCACACAAGCAAGGACAGATTACCCGTCATATAGATGGCGAGTTCGAACGACCAAAATTATCGCTTCCAGAGTCACCAATAATACTGACAACTCGAAGACAAGACCGAATAAGACTGGAAAGAGTTATCTCTTCAGTGTACACGCGGGAATGCCTCCCATACCCTGGCATGAGCCTAGCAAAAGGCGACATTCTCTTTCGGCCCAGTACAATTATGAGGCGCTTTACTGTCCGTCCGGGGGCCTACAGACGTTCAAGTTCCGTGAACCTTCCTCGAAGCCAGTCGGTCGTTGAGAAACCTTACTCTACCAGGGAGATTACCCAGCGGAAATGGTCCAACGATAGTGACAAAGACGAAGCTTTCCGCGCCAAATGGGGGTTTGACGATGAGAAGCACGTCGACAGTTTTCCCAAATCCAGCACGGGAACCATAAAACGCAGTAAGACATTAAGGCTAAGGCATCACCCAAGGTCATCTTGCGGCCTTAACCACCAGCAGACAGGCAAGGGAGACGGAAGTTGTGAGCGCGCCGAGAGTCCTTCATTGAAAACATCAATCCGAATCATGTTTAATTCCATGTCATTAAGGCGACCAAAGAGGAGCCCAGGCTTACGCATTAGTGTTAGTGGGGGATAATGATGCAATGCGGATGGAGAGAATCTGCGCTATTGCGTCAGGGGTTGAGGGTCCAAGTGCTTCTATGTCGGAAGAGAAGGTATCTATTTGTTTCGTATCGATTCGCTGAGACAGTGGGGGGAAGAGAGTGGACTGAGGAATGCGGTGGTTGGCGAGGCAATTGGTATCAGATAGTAGGAACATCTCCCCACCGAGCATTCGTTGAGTGCATCATCGCCATACTAAGTGAGAAATATGCAGGTTGCTTTGTCGTCGGGGCAAGAAAAAGCGGAGCCTATCGTAAGTCATTTCATATCGTCTCACGGGGTATGACGTCGGAGGGGTTGCTCATCAACCGTCAAATCTGTAGCACACGACCTTATTTAGAGACCGTACCAACCCTCTCAAGAGTGGCATAGAATAGCAGGTTCATTTTCAAAGAATTTTATCCTACTCTTATCACTCTACTCTACTTATCTCGAGATCCTTCTCATACGTGACAGCCATTGACACCTTGAACTTTCTATCCCGCGGAACCACCGAGTGACGTCATCATATACTACCTCATCTCCCACGACAGCTCATTGACCTCCCACTGCTTTCCAACTTTCACTCCTCCCTCTTTTTGCCTCCAAACCGAAAGCTGAAGCATCAATTACTTCCCCTTACTACAAACCAATCCTCCAAGTACACCAAGATGCCTCGTGCCAACGAACCTACCGCCAAGGTCTTCTACAAGGGAGCTTCCGAGGACTTCATCGTCTTCGTTGACGACATCCAGATTCTCAACAACTGGCGCAAGGACCGCTCAATCCCACTGGCCGATGTGGTAAACGGCTTTAAGATCTTTGTCACTCACAAGTAGGTCCCTCCCATCTACCTTCTCGCCCCTCTTCCCCAGAACAATTGCATACTAACATCCGTCTACTAGACACGGTGCTCAAGGCATCATGGACAACGCTAGCAAGGGTATTCTGGACACCGAGTTCGGCACATCGAACGAGGATGAGTGCATCAAGAAGATTCTAGAGAACGGTGAATACCAGTCCTCTGTGGTATGTTCTTCCCCCCGCGCCCCTCACTGAGATTCTCCATGGATGATACTAACTTTTAACTCTTAGACGAGGGAACGCCAGGATGATACCAATGTTGCTAACGGCCCCGTTGGCATTGGCCGGTAATTTCTTAATTTAGCGGAGCTAAGCATGTTTTTATGAGCCATGGATTGGGTTGTTATTGGGGTGTTTTTTTGAAATTTTATTGTATCTTAAGATGGGATGGATGGGATTATGTTTGCATAAATCATGGCATCAATGAAATAACCCTCCACTGAGTGGATCGTATTTGTGTTTGATTATCCTTGGGGTTTCCTCGTTGTAGCATCGTACATGAGACTAAAGCACGTAGGTGGTATTGTTCATGTAATTGCATAATACGTACTTAGATCCTTGTATATAGTTACATTGGACGGGTATTCTTGGCTTCTCGTCGACTCTTCACCCATTTCCCCAATTCGTTCCATACAGCCTGTTTCTCAGCCATGCTCATCCCGGCTGCCAGTCCACTAGTAGTGGTAGCAACAAACACCGGCGCCCCATTCCACCCCTCACCCCGACCCATGTTCTCCGACTCGTCTTGCCATCCGTAGCGGAATTCTTCCTTCCGGATCGCTCGACCCTTACGTACCCGCCATACAGCCTCCCAGATACTCTTTCCAACGAGACAAACGGCCTCTGGCCGTTGCTTGGCTACTTTCTCTTCTAGCACCGGCACGCCGGCGTCCATCTCCGCCTTGCTGAGCATGCTGGCGTCGCGGGTCGGACGCTCTACAATGTTGGTGTTTCCGATGTTATATAATTCCGGTAGCCGGTAGGTATCAGAGGGCGGGTGGCGAATCGTCGTGATCCCAGACCAATGCAGGAGCTTCCAATATAGGTTCGATGGGTGGGCGTAGACGTGCCCCGTGGCACCGGTCATGATACCCGGGTTGACGCCTACCAGGAGAAGGGAGAGGTTCGATGGGATGGTGTCGCGGAGGAGCGAGACGGGGGAAGACGCTGGTGTACTCTTACGAGAAGAGGGCTGACGGCGAGCGCGAGAACGACCCGGTGTACTTGGCTCCGTGGCGGGCGACGGGGCGGGCGATGATGATGATGATGCGGAGCGAGAACGGGTTATCCGTTTGGGGAGGTTGAGGACGGCGGCAGAGACGGCTTTCTTTCTTCGCTTGGAGTTTGAGTCATTGTCGTTGCTGGATGATTGGTCGTTGGACTCTGATTCAGACTTCCTTTTGGATAATGTATCTTGTCTTGAAGGGTTGGGGATATTCTTGGATGTGTGGAAGTATTGGTTTAGTCTGCCGTTGAAGCTGGTCTTCTTGTTAACGGGCACGTCTTCAGCGTCATCTGTGGCGAGGGCTGTTTCGATGTGGAAATCCTCGTTGATGAGGGTGGTGGAAGCTGGAGGCGACATTCCGCTTCCAGGGGATTGTGGGAGCTTTGGCTGGGATTAGTGGTATGTGGTATCAGTTCGCAGGCAACTTTGAAGGAAGTCAAATCTAGAAAATATTTGGAAGCCTTTATATCATTATTAGCTGTTAAATAGTTAGTGCGATATTCTATTTTCTTCCATTGAAGGTCGAGCGCAGGAGGAAAGGTAGGTACCTACAGGCTAGAGTATGGGAGAGCGATGATAGGCCAGTCATATTGTTGATGTTATAGTCACGTGTAGAACGTTCTCCATTAGGTTAGGGTGGCGAGGCATCCAGGCACCGAGGTTGTCGCCTTCCATTCAGACGATTAGTTTCCAAGTTGGCAGCGAGACCTACGTGGTCAACCCATTTGCCTAAAGATTTTTCTCTGAATTTATTCGATGTCTAAAGATAGCACTAGTATATATAGGTAGTATATATGTATGTACATGAGCCAAGATACTATACCCACTGAAGTCGCCAATCCGGCTATTAGCCTATTATCCGTCGCTTTAGTATGTACTCTGCCCAATTAATTGGAGGTTGCTTTGGGTCTAAAGTTCGCGCTCCATGGACTTGGCTTTGATCATTTGGTTTGATGAGCGTGTTCATAATGCCTCCATTTTTTCTTTTCTGTTCAAGGTCTTCCTCTGTGCCTCACTATCGGTGGTATCAATTATGGTCGAAAGAGAGGGTCGGACTGAAACCAGGTAAGGCCATTGCTGGCTACTCATATCTTATCTTGAAGAACCGGGGGTAAACGCCGGTGGCCGCCCAAATAGTCATTAATTATGTCGTTCACGTCATTAGGTCGTAATTCAAGCGCATCGTTATACTTTGAGGGAATTTCGTTTAGGCAAGGTCCAGGGTACCGCGCAGACAACCTATATCTTTGTTAGACGTGCTATCTCTGTGATTCAAGCTTCTTGCAAATGTACGAACCTCGCCTTCGGAATAAGCCCAGAAGTATACACCTATTCCGACAAGGTAATATATGGCGGGATCAGTTCCCTGGTATAGGAGCATGGAAAGTAGAGCGCTAAGAGGATATAGGATAAGACGGAATTCGATACTGCGATGCGGTAACGTCCCGGCAAAGTATTTCAGAGGCCATTCCCATGCGAGACCAAGCAGTCCTAAAAGCAGGTTGAGAATTTGTAACACCGGGATCGGTTTTACTGCGCCATTGAGGTTCTTCGTCATGAAATCCCAGAACACTTTCGGCCAGATGAAGCCTTCGATGGCACTGCCTACTTGATCTGTGGATCGGTGAAACGCATTAGCTTGCGTCGATACGAAAAGGAAGAGCCAACATACATGCTGCGGCCGTGAGGATTATCAAGCGGGCCCAGTGGTTTTTGATAAGCCTTCCCATGGCAATCCGAATCTTCCTCGGCAGCCACGTAGAGTGAGAACTGCGACGCTTTCGTCCAGCGAAAGGAGTTTAACTTGAGAGTCGATAGAATTGCTGACGTCTCACAAGCAAGGAATTATGGTCGGCGTGGCCAGCTATCCTCGTCATCGATTATATCAATTGAAGTCGCGTGCAGTGGGAGACCCAGTGAGAACATGGCAAGTGAAGTCGTATAAAGTTGATTGTTGCTCTGCGAACAGGTCGGATCTGAATGTGATAGTCGTAGATAAAGTTCAGATCAAATGATAAATCACATCACAAAACATCAATGCGCGCAGGATCGAGCGTGACCCTTCGTGGAGTCCAGAGAGTCATGTCCATGGAAGCGGTATGAATGGTAAATGGAGGGGGACTGAGAAGGAATACATAGCTTCCCGGCGCCTAAAGAGGGTCACCACATGATCTCGATTGCCCCCTCAACAGATCCGTATGCGCGCATGAAATCCCATCGTACAGCGATGTGATACGCGGATTCGTTTCAAGAACCGCTCAAGACCAAGAGCCAATTGAAAGTATTATGCCGCTTCAGAGGACATACTTGGTACTCTCCTCTTGGGTTCTTCACGGGGATAGAGCTCTCGACGCTCTTGATTGGAGTTGAGAAAGTAGAGACGTTGTGACAGCCAAGTTCAATCCCAGCACTTTCACTATTCAAAACCCTGGTTGGGCGCTACGTCTATGCGGAAAGCAATGGTCTCTAGCAAATCAGAAGGGGGAACTGGCGAGATGGAAGGTGTTCAGCACCTTAGCGCCGCGACGGTGCGTGACAGTGGAGCGCAACCTGCAGGAGATTTACGGGAACAGAATTTAGTCGCCGATACTTGTGCCACTCCCGCATTCTGATTGACCGCACAAGCCCCATGCTAACAATTAGGGCCTGGTCATTGCTCTTTGACCAGGAAGATTTTTGTGAAGACCCACGAAGCGGGGAACAGTATCCTGGTTGCTGCTGGTATTTCCATGCCCGATGGCTGTTCTGCCTCGGCGGTAACTGATGCTACACAGCCATATCTGCACAGGCACTCATGCCCATTCAATGTGGTCTCATAATCCAAATACAACACACAGGAGGATTAAGGGGAAAAGAAGACCAAGTTCGAAGGATTTCAAGGCGATTAATCGAGGCGCAGATAATCATTGGTCTCACCGTCTTTTCTGTATCACCGCCAGCCACTGCGCTAGATCACCAACTAGTTTTGAATTATGAATGTTTTACTACCGAGTTGGCCACACTAGCTATGGGGTAGATGTGACGAGCTGTCCATCATGCAGAGCCGAGCAGTCCAGGATCCTCGTCCGCATCATCTCGGACTCGGATATCTTGGGCTCTCCTGACGCCAAGGCCCAACCGTCAGTGGAAATCAGAATATGCACGGAGATGGTTGCCACTTTGGACTAGTTCTTTTAATACTGCGATGCTGAGAAGCGACTGAAAGAGCTATATTTGGTAGCGACCCTAAGTTGATCAACTCATGCGATGGACGGGGTTGCTACTAGGCCGTGCGACGGGAAGCGCGCTTGCAGAGCGCCTCTCATAGGGCAACCTCAAAATGAGTGGCAGGTTCTCCACCCTCAAAGAAGCAAATCACCTGGTGGCATGAGTATAAGAAAAATCGTAAGTTAGCTACAGTGATGCCAAGGACGCACTACTCCCCAATCATTCTCGACTTATGCTCGAGCCACATGGTTATCACTAGGATATGAGAAGATCAGAAGAATTTTGACGGAAAAGATAGCGATGGCCCCTCCTGATTACTATTTTTGAACATCAAGCTAGTGGGAGAAGAATAACATGATGGTGGCATAACTTGCTAATCAAGGTTCAGAACTAATTGTGATAGATATCTGGCCGTTCATCCTCTGGCCAAGAATACGAGAAGCAAGGCTGAACTCAATGAGAATCGCACGGGGCCCAATAGACACTTCTGACTCAAGACTGTGGCACATCACCGAGTTATACGATAGGATAGATTGAAGGTATCCTAGAGCGTGTTTCTGGGGGTATTTGAGGTGTGCTTTGAGGTAGGTACATACATAGGTAGGAGTGGTGCACAGAGCGTTGAAGTCACTGGATGTTCAATGCCCTAAGAGTCGTCGTAGTGGTAGCTACTAGTGACTGGATGGAGTAAATATAGCAAAAGGTGCATATTTAGTCTCTTCCCCCTCGACCGGTGGCTTTCCCCCTCCCTCTTCCCTGCAACCAAAACCACACCCCCGGAACCAAGGCAACAAAAGAAGAGTTCAATAAAAAAAAAAAGAAAAAAAAAAATAATCGATCGAATCTCCATCACTGGACCCCACATTAGTTCTCTCAACGTTCAAACCACTTTTGTCTATGGCCTGGTAACTGTCAAGCTAACAATGGTTGAATTGACTTGCGCCGTACCCTGGCACCAACCTATTGTTGTTTAGCATCATAATAATCGTGTGTGGCTTCGCTTTCAGTTGCTTTAATCGGCCACTGAACACTTACTGTCGCTGAAGCCCATTTCCTCGCTATATCACCTAAGGCCAGCACATGATATCGCGAAGGATCAAGGCAAAAGGGAAAAACTACCGATTCATATACGTCCTGGGAACGCTGGTTTATCGCTTTCCTACGCTATCATTGCTGGGGGGCTCGGCCACTATCCGGTTGTTTAACTTACGTTTCTCTCGACAAAAATACCTAAGCCAGTATACAGAAGATCAAGATTGCATGGATTGCAGACAGGGAACATCTGAGCCATTCGTATGCAAACATTGCTCCTCTGGTTTGAGGCACAGGCATATTTTACTTCCGAAAGGCACACAAGACGTTGGCGCTACAAAACGATTCTCATCTCGTACCGCCAGTCATTGCTGGTCGATGACACAGCTACCCTTTCCTTGTTCTTTTTAGACTTGCCCGCGGGAATTGACTACGTTGCTTTTCATTCCGCGTGGGGCCAGCATGTCATACACATGGGGTTCTCTGTTTACTGGTTCTAAAATCCTGTTCTATATACTCTTCTGGGGTTCTCATATTGCGGTGTTTGCACTTGGGTGGTAAGTATGCCGGTCTATATGATCTTGCGACTAGCTCGCTGAGAATTCATAGGTATTTCCAAGCCAACAATTCAAAATTGGATGCCCTCAATGCCCTCGAATATTCCGTCTGGATCTCCAGAGGTGCAGGCTTAGTACTGACATTCGATGGAACCCTGATTCTGTTGCCCATGTGCAGGAACATTGTCAAAACTCTCAGGCCTAGGATCCGATGGCTACCGCTCGATGAATCAATATGGTTCCACCGCCAAGTCAGCTATGCTCTGCTTATCTTTACCATTCTCCATGTGGCCGCCCATTATGTCAAGTAAGTAAGGGCCTCAAAGAATCATCCATCGCTCTAACACGCAATAGCTTTTATAATGTCGAGAAGAACAACATTCGGCCCGTTACAGCCGTTCAAATACATTTCACTGAAGCAGGGGGGATTACAGGTCACGTAATGCTCTTTTGCATGATGCTAATATATACTACGGCTCATCACCGGATCCGCCAGCAGTCGTTTGAGACCTTCTGGTATACTCACCACTTATTCGTGCCCTTTATGTTAGCCCTCTACACTCACGCTACGGGTTGTTTTGTTCGCGACTCTACAGAACCATACTCACCCTTCGCGGGTGAAGATTTCTGGAAACATTGTATCGGATACGAAGGATGGAGATGGGAGCTAGTAGCAGGTGGTCTTTACCTCCTCGAAAGGCTCTATCGTGAGATTCGATCTCGGCGTGAAACAGTAATAACAAAGGTGATCCGTCATCCATACGGTATGTTGACAATACTTCCATGGTCTTTTGCCCAACATCTCGATGACCTAACAATCAAAATAGATGCCATGGAGATCCAATTCCGTAAGGAGAGCATGAGGTACAAAGCCGGCCAATGGCTCTTCATCCAAGTCCCTGAGGTGTCGAGCAACCAATGGCACCCCTTTACCATCACCTCCTGCCCGTTTGACCCGTACATCAGTATCCACGTCCGCCAAGTGGGAGACTTCACACGAGCCCTCGGTGACGCCCTTGGATGCGGACCGGCCCAAGCCAGAGACCTCGAAGGCCTCGACCCGCTCGGAATGTATGAGGTTGCGCTTGAAAACGGACAGAAAATGCCTCAACTCCGCGTCGACGGACCCTACGGAGCCCCAGCCGAGGACGTTTTCGAAAACGAAATCGCTGTTCTCATTGGAACTGGAATCGGCGTCACACCATGGGCATCCATCCTAAAGAACATCTGGCACATGCGCGCTGGACCTAACCCGCCCCGTCGTCTTCGCCGCGTCGAGTTCATCTGGGTCTGCAAGGATACCTCTTCTTTCGAATGGTTCCAGGCTCTCTTATCCTCACTCGAGTCCCAGTCTGCCTACGAGGCAGCAAACGAAGGGCGAGTGGAATTCTTGCGCATCCACACCTACCTTACACAACGTCTAGACGACGACACTACCGCTAACATCTACCTCAATTCCGTCGGCCAGGAGGTCGACCCCCTCACGGAGCTGAAGAGTCGGACCAACTTCGGCCGTCCAAACTTCCAGCGTCTCTTCACTGCTATGCGCGATGGTCTCCAAGACGGGACATACATGCCTGGCTTATATGCCGAATTTGCAACGCAGATCGGAGTATATTTCTGCGGACCCAATGCCGCTGCTCGGCAGATCAGGGAAGCTGCCATCACATCGGCAACTAAGGATATTAAGTTCAAGTTCTGGAAAGAACACTTCTAATAAGGGGTTTGTTTTGGAGAGGAGAGCCGGGTCTAGTGGCTCCGGTGAATTTTTTTGATGAGTTACGAGTTTTCTTTATCGACATCTTTCTTTCCCCTTTTCGACAATGCGAGTTGCGTGTCATTGAACTAGTGTATGTACCTGATGAGATACAATGCCCTGTACAGTATACCAGTATATAGTTATAAATGGTTCACTCTTCAATTTGCTAGGGTGGATAGTTATGGTATCTTTTCCTGTATTTCATAGGCCGAAGACTGATATGATACACGTTGATTGAATAACAGGTTGTCATAGTTGCATCTGCTCATCCTCGCTATCGGCATCTTCCGGCATGGCAATTGGTAGCCCCAGCGCAGCTGTCTTCTGCTGCATCTCCGCCAACAGCTCGTCCAACTCATCTTCGATATCGACATGAACCCGCAATTCCTTCTCTATCAGGACATTATACACACTTCGTAGCTCAAAGAAGTTCATGCCATCGCCCTTCCGTGATGCGCTTGGATGCAGCTCCCGGACGATATCTGCCCTGAGATGGCTGAAGGCAAGCATGATGAGCTCTTTGGACCATGGACAGGCGCGCATGCCACGGTAGAAGACATCTTTGGCACGATTGATGTCGTGCTGAGATATCTCGAAGAGAATGTAGAGTTTCCAGAGTGTGAGGTTGGAGCGGGCGGTGGAAAGTGTGTTATGGTGGGTTGAGGTCATCGGGTCTTTGTCGCCAATAGCCTTTTCGAAAGCCGCACGGACAGAGTGTGGGGTAGAACCGGCATACACAGGACGATTTAGTTCGGTGAAGATGGAGAATAAGTGGGATGTGATTGGTACTTGGGTTGTGAAGATTTGGTCGGCACGGTTGTGGGCTTTCGTCGTTATGTCCATGATGGTATCCCTGACGCGCTCTTCGATACGGAACCGAGATTCATTCCAAGCAAAGAGGGACAGAAATATCGTGTTATGGGGGAATAAGGATATGCTATCTGCCAGCAGAGCACGAATCTGGGAGGGCTTGTATATGCTGCTTGTGCGGGCGTGATAGTAGAGCAGTCTTGCACGCGCTTGGTGCAGGAGTTCAATAGAAATGGATCTGAACGATTCGAACTTTGCTGGCAATGTTGCAAGTCTGTTGAAGCCATTGCTGTATGGCTGAAGGGCTTTATTTAGATCCCGAGAGTTAGAAAGGTAGGTTAGTATTGCTAGACAGTCCGTGCAGGCCACAAAAGTGTTGGCTTTTCCGGCTGCAAGCGAGGCCTCTTGGTTATCTGATAGTAACTGCTTTGAGTTAGCCTAGTGGTAAGGAGTGAAAAGCTTGTCTACTTACACTCTGAGTCTTCAGCAGGCTTGTTGGGTTGAATATGTATTGTTTAGGATCCACCGGAGCCTTCAGGCTAGGACTGCTCTGAGGCATAGAACTGAAGAGATAAGATACATAATCTAAGCTGCCAGCCTCCAGCATCTCCCATATACAAGTATGCCAAAGGAAAACAGCATCGACCTTTTCCTCCTCAGTAAACGTCTTACTGTTTTGGCTCATAGATAGAGTGGTCTCCCACACACGGTTGGCGGCCTCCAGGTTGCCTGACCGACGTTCAATAAGAGCATACACATTGTAGAGCCACAGGCTGGACGGCCGCTTTTTGAGTAAGGATTTTGCATACTTTGCTGCCTTGCTGCGGTCACCTGCAAACTCCACCGCAATCGCATACGCAGCCAAATGGTCATTTTGTGGCATCAGCTCTACCAAAGATCTCAATACCTTGGAAACCCAACCGGGGTCGACATCGGACCGAGAGTTCAGTACGCTTGTAGCCCAAGGACCAATGGAGGAGAACCATGCTTCGTGGTCCGCGAAAAGAGTATCGAATGAATGAACAAAGTTCTGGAAGTAGCCCGGCGCCGAAGCGGTATTTCTAGTATCGGTGTCGTATTTAGGAACCCAGCGATCAAGCGTGGAATCAGAGCTGCTCATGAATTCATTTCGCAAGAAGCTGTCACCCATCCAGTGATTGGTTGTCTTCGAGTTGCTGGAGAATGCAATAGGAGGAAGATGACAGAAATATAGAAAGCTGTCAACCAGCACGTCTGTTGATGCTAAGCCCCATACAAGCGATAGGACCTCCAGCAGATCGGCCGAGAGAACTACACGATAGGGATCATCGTTCTCTTCATCTAAGCTGCGAGCTGGAAGGCGAGCGTTGTTAATTCGTTCCCGTTCGCATGACATCCAAGACGCGAATACAGACTTCGAGTTCACTCGATTTTGTGATGTGAAGGATCTGGGCTCCAAAAGAGTATTAAGGCCGCTCTGCCAGCCCTTTGCACCAACTTCACCAATACGCACAACTTCAGAATCCCAGAAATCCATGAACGCCGACAGCACCTCTTCTCGAGCTGTGACAGAATCCGTTGTCCCCGATTGAAAGAACGTCAGCTCTAGAATTGCTTGCCATAGACCTACTGCATGTTCGGTGAATCCAGCTTCCCGAATGAAAAGCGTCAAGCGAAGGAAGAGGTAGACTTGAACATGGGCTTTCTCCGGGTTGTCGGATGCAGATCTGTTCAATCTCATACAGTCAATGAACGTAGCATAGCATCGTTCGTAAGTAAATTCAAGAAATTCAGTCTGTCGGAAATCAAGATATTTGACCCAGAGGCTAATGAAATGAGGATTTGATTTCAGTACAGCCTGCCACCGTGCTGAAAGCTTTTTCGTGTCCCAAAGTTTGGCGCCTTCTTCTAGAAGACCGAGGAGAAGAAGATCACGAGAAGCATGTCCTCCAACCTTCTTCAAGGCTTTCTCATAGAGGGATATCTTGATATCGGCCAAGCTCTTCTTTTCAGCATACGTGAGGGTTTTCGTTTCTCCTTCGGAGCCTTTCAGAAGAGATTCCTGATGCTCGACAAGGTCAATCCATGCACGCACATCGGTGGGATTGCGCTCAACATTCCTGGACAGCTCGACATTGCGCTGTTTAACTTCTTTATCAGGGTCGACTCGCGCCGTCTCGTCACCACTCAAATCGGTGTCTGATACTTCTTCCATGTCACTGGGAAGGTTATCCTCTTGCTTCGCCTTTCCATGAATTGAACGATAGCCATATCTCTCGTCGTCCGAACCCTCATGTCCTGAGACATCGCTGCGTTTGTGATGCACGGAGGCCGTAAGTGGAAGATAATCTTTCGAGGCGTCTGCAGCTGCATCTAACGTAGGTGCTGGTCGTATCCGAAGTAGTTTCGTTCTCTGTGTGTTCCCCCCAGATATTATACTCTTCGACCTTGTCCTTGAGCTATCGGAGCGCCAGGCGTCTGCCTTGATGATCAACGCGTCTCCTTCGGCGGTATCGCGATCGATCTTATTGGTTGGAGGAAGACCTAGCACGCTACCTCGACCTATCCGGTAGTAGAGCGGAACATTGTAACGATGAATAGTACCGTATATGATATTGTATCTATCACCTTTACGATCCACAACATATAGATCTGACGCCTCCGCCTCTAACTTCACGGTGTCTTGCAGCACCAATCGGTGCTCAGGAATAAGCTCCCGTTCGGAATGAGACGCCTCCTTATGGTCATGACGGATGTTTTTACGCTCTCTTCGACGATCTCTAGAGCGGGAACGGTCTCGGTGATGCCTGTGTCTCGAACGGTGTCGTTTTGAGTGGTGTCTGTGCCTGTCTTCTTTGTCGGAGCTGTCGCGACTGCGGCGCTCGGGAGGCCGATCAGCTTCGGGTGGAGGCGCTGGTCGAGGCTTGAAGCTGGCGAACCGAGGGATGGACTTCTTCTCCGGCTAGAAAAAATATATGGCAATTAGTTTCGATAGTAGATCAATATTCCAAGAAAAAGGACCAACCTGAGAGCTAGAGGAATCCATGCTCCTGAGCGTGAGGCATCGTGAGCCTTGAAGATCAGTTGTTTGGTGGTTGTCACTGGAAAAACTCCGCCTCCGCTTCCCGTAATTTTTTCTGGTTGGAGAGGCGGCAGTAAAAAAAAAGCTACTCCGATCACCCACCGTTGCCGGCGTGAAAAAATAACCCAATACGCCTGGGGAGACTGAATTGTTGTTCAAGTTCGAGAAGTGTGTTTCTGAGGGATGGGTTACTATTGTAAATACGGTTAAGGAACAATATACGCTTCAAGATGGCATCGTCCCTCGCTGCGCAGCTGTCGCAGATTGCGGCAAACTCGACCAACCAGTTAAACCTCAAGGCGCAGAGGATAGCGCATTCACAATCTTTGATTTTCGACAGAAAGGTCGCCGGGTCCCAAGATTTCGATACGATCTATGATATATGCAACGAAGGTTTCCAGGAATTATGCGAGTTGGATCCCCGATTTGCGCAATTCGAGCGCACGATCTTCAGCGAACAGAGCAAGGCGCAGGAGCGAACGGAAATGAACGTTGCCCAGAATAAGGAGCTGGATGCAGTTTTGGAGACTTTCCTTGCTTTGGTCGGAGGGAAATTATTGCTGAGTCCTGCTGTAAAGGCTGTTGACTGGCTCATTAGGCGTTTTCGGTACGATTGAAACGATTCATTGACCTCAATCTCCAAACTGTTCGACAACCATGGGCTAACAGAATGTGCAGGATACACGAATATAACACGGAGTTTACGATCCTCACTTTCCTTCCATATCACACCACCCCTCTGTTCCTGAGCCTATTGTCGATACTTCCAGAGGATCTGACACCGACCTTCAAAATTCTCAATCCCTATAAGAAAAGCTCAATCAACCCCCCGCGCCATCCTCTCGTGCACAGTGCTACCACAAACAAGCCATTTTTCGCAGCTTTAAATAGATACACCATTCAAGTCAGCAGGGAACGAGCGGGTCACCATGCGCTTTTGACGTTTTGGGCGGGTATCGTAACAGAGTCTGTTGCTGGAATGCTGGATTCGGGGCGTTCGGGTCGACGAAACATTGAGAAGGAAAACCACGACGATATCATCATGCGAGTTCTTCCGGTATTGAATGACGGGTTGGCTATGAAGGATGTAGCAGAGTTGGTCATCGGGTGCTACATGGTTTGTGTGGCTATTGCACAAAAAGCTTCTCTGCACGACAAGGTCATCGATAGCTTGATGGAGGCTGTGGCAGAGTCTTGGACGGAAGAAACGGTGAACTCAGGTCTTGTCTGCTT